GTTCCAGTGATTCTCGTGCCTTAGCTTCCCTAGTAGCTGGGACTACAGGCATGTGCCACCACACCCAGCTAATTTTTGTATTTGTAGTAGAGACAGGGTTTCACCATGTTGGCCAGGCTGGTCTCAAACTCCTGACCTCAAGTGATTCACCTGCCTCAGCCTCCCAAAGTGCTGGGATTACAGGTGTGAGCCACCATGGCCAGCCTTCTGATCATTTTTATTCCTTTGACTTCTTTATACCATTTCCAGTGTTGCTGAAGATCATTTTATCTACTTTAATTTTTAAGTACAAGTTTCATTTCTATTAAAAAAAAAGTTACACTCCTAAAAAATGGGAAGTGTGACTTTCAAACTGAGTCACTGCTTAAGCATGGCTGTGCCCTCGGGTATCGCATGGTGACCTCATGGTCAAAAGGAAACTAGAAGTGACTTATCCAAGATTGCACTGCTGCTTAAAAGCCCAAGGGGACAGCGTAGTCCAGTGTGCTTTCTGCCTCGTCATGGGCAACCACATAAATATGGCTTTGTTTCTATGTCTCCAACTTTGGGTGAAATGGAAGCAGCCGCCCTTGAGTACATTTAAACAGTCGAATGCAGGACACGTGGCCATTCCGCCCCGGTGCGGACTTTCTCACATTGGGTTAAACGGCCAAGAGCAGCCCCTGAGTTTGGGACCTTAGGACGCTCTGGGCTGGTCCTCAGATGGCCTTTGGGACCTTAGGACACTCTGGGCTGGCCCTCAGATGGCCTTAGGTTGGAGTCTCTCATTGCTTTCGTCTCCAGGCCTGGCTGGCTGAGGTTGAAGGCCGGCTCCCAGCACGCAGCGAGCAGGCGCGCCGGCAGAGCGGACTGTACGACAGCCAGAACCCGCCCACGGTCAACAACTGCGCCCAGGACCGCGAGAGGTACAGTATCTGCACAGCGCCTGCCTCTGGCAAGGGAGCCTGTTGGCTTTCTATTTATTTCTAAATTTCGGAATCTGGAATGAGCGTAAGGCACTTGTTCAATGCCAAAATGTCTGTTACAATTGACCTGTCACTTTTCCCCATGCCACGTGGGGTGTGAGATCTGAGCCTGCCGATGATTTACCGCAGTCTCAGTTGCAGCACTCGCTGAGGGGCGGGGGTTGCAAGCGCTCTCCAGTCACAGGGACTCAACCTGAGTCCTCCCTGGGGTCAGTCGCTTTAGTTGCTTTGTGTTTTCCTTTCTTGAGCAGCCCAGATGGCAGTTACACAGAGGAGCAGAGTCAGGAGAGTGAGGTGAAGGTGCTGGCCACGGATTTTGACGACGAGTTTGATGATGAGGAGCCCCTCCCTGCCATAGGGACATGCAAAGCTCTCTACACGTTTGAAGGTGACATTTCGTGTCCGCTGGATTCCCTTGCCTTTTAAAAACCGTAATAGCTGAGTCACTCTTCTTTCACCCTTCCTTCCTTCCCTCCTTCCTTCCTTCCCTCCTTCCTTCCTTCCCTCCCTCCTTCCTTCCTTCCCTCCCTCCTTCCTTCCCTCCCTCCTTCCTTCCTTCCCTCCCTCCTTCCTTCCTTCCCTCCCTCCTTCCTTCCCTCCCTCCTTCCTTCCTTCCCTCCTTCCCTCCTTCCTTCCCTCCCTCC